CCCGGGGTTTGGCTGGGTGTTCAGTCCAGAGCAGGCTTGCACAGATCCAAGAAAATTGAAAAAAACAAGGGTCCGGGGAACTCCTCTGCCTCAGCTAGCTAAAACTAACTAAAAGCCAGAGAGAAGCTCTGTCCCGCTGTCTGTCCGTGCTGCAGACACCACAGTCCAGGAGCGGGGTGTGTGGGAGTGATGTCTTCCTTAACACACTGCGCGCTTCTTCTTTCCCCTCTCTTACTTTCAAAGACAGTCTTAAAGGTGCAGGACTTAATATATAACATAAACCAGACGATTGGGGATACCAGTATCATAAAGTCACCCCAGGACACCCAGCTTGTTCCAGCAGGATCCCAGTATGACCCCAGCATGGGCACAGCTGCTCCCAGGATTATCCAGTGTGGTTCCAGTTGCTCCCATTTACTTGCACTGTGGTTTCAGTCTCTCCCAGTCTATCCCAGTTGCTCCTAGTCACTCCTTGGGTGCTTCCAATGTGATCCCAGTTGCTCCTAGTCACTCCCAGTCACCCTGAGTGCAGTCCCAGTTGCTGCCAGTATGGTCCCAGTCTTGCACAGCGTGGCCCAGCTGCTCCCACTGTGATCCCAGTAGGACTTCAGCATGGTTCCAGTCACTCCCTGTTCCTCTCTGTGTGATTCCAGTTGCACCCAGTTTAATCCCAGTATAGTTGCAGTCCCTCCCCAGATGATCCCAGACCCTCCCAGCATGGTTCCAGTCATGCCCAGTTGCCCCTGGTGCAGACCCAGTCAATCCCAGTTGTTCCCAGTTGTCCCCAGCATGGTTCCCGTTGTTCCCAGCGTGATTTCAATTTCCCCAGGATGGTCACAGACATTCCCAGTATATCCCATGTGCCCTCAGCGTGCTTGTGCTCATTCCCAAGGATTCCCAGTTGCCCCAGTAGGGTTCCAGTTACCCCAGTCCAAACGAGTCCCTGCCAGTGCTGCCACTCCTGGGATCCCCCAGCCCTCTCTGTGTTCCCCGGTCCCACATCTCCCCAGAGGAGCCCCAAGGGCTGGCAGTCCCCAGCCAGGGTTCCCAGCCAGCCCCAGGTTGGATCTGCAGCCCCCAATTTTCCCAGTTTCCCTCTCCTTTTCCCCGGGCCGGGTTCCCCCCGTCCCCAGCGGGTGGGAGCAGCGGAGAGCCCCGCGCTGCCCATCCCGACCTGTCCCGGCTCCATCCCCGCTCCTGCCGTGGGCTGTGAGGGGTTTGGGAACGGGGCACCGAGGGTGTCACTGCTCCTGGGGGAGGAGGAGGAGGGATGGAAGAGGAGGGATGAAGAAGGAGAGTGAGAGGGGATGGAAGTAGGAGCACGAGGTGGGGTTAGGGAGGAGGCGGATGAGGAGGGATGGAAGAGGAGGGACAAAGGAAGATCATAGAAAGGAGGAGGAAGCACGAGGTTGAGCACTCCCTGAATTCACAGCCCCCCAACCGTGGGATCATCACCCCCCATCCCAGAAATGACAGGAGAGGGGGAGCTTGGCCCAGATAACCTGGAGGGTTCCTGGGTTGGGTTTTTTCGTGGGTGATGTTTGAAGAATGAAGAACTAAAAAGCTGAGTGGAAAATGCCCCTTGGGGGAACACTGGGAGGTCCTGGTGGCGGCTGCTGGCAGAAGCAGCCTGGAGGAGCAGAGCCCTGTGTCCCCCAGGACCCCAAATTTGGGATCCCTGAGAGGGGGAGAGCTGTGATTCACAGGACCCTCAACAGCCTGGAGAGGGGCAGGGGGGATTCCTTGGACCATCTGCATCCCCAAGCAGAGAATAAGGGGACAAGGGACCCTGGGACCCCAAAAACCTCCAGCATCCCTAAATGTTGAGATAGAAATGGGAGAAACTTTTTGGATTCCTGGCCTTCTCAAAAGAGTGGGCAGGGCAGGGACCAAGTAGACTGGGGACCCCCAGGGCAAGCGTGACCCCCAGCAGCTGGGACAGGGGGGAACCCATGAACAGCAAAGGGGAGAGACCAGAGATGGGAAAGTCCTGGGAGGCATTTTCAGAGCTGAATATTGGTGTTTGGGAGGTTTATATGGGCACCAGATGGCTGGTGACTTCTAGAGATGGACTTGGGCAGGAGGAACCTCCTAACCCAGTGTGCTCATGAATTGTATTTTCCCCAAACCAGGATTTCCCATTCCCAAACCTAGACTGGATGGAGAAGGAGGCTGCGAGGAAGAGGAAGATGCCCCAGGACACCCAGGCAGGTGAGGAGGAAGTCAGTGCCCCTTTCCCCCTCTCTCCTGCTCCATCTCCCAGCCCAGCCTGGCCCCCGGCTGCAGGACAACCCCGCTGCCGACGCCGTCCTGCCGGGGACGCACTGGGGGGATCTCCTTCCCCTTCCCTCTGGCACGGAGGCAAATCCCATCCTCTCCTTGTCCTTCCTCCCCCAGACAAGGAGCTGAGGATGGAGACCAGGGAGGACAAATCCCCACGGCAGAACCTCATGGAAGAGGCCACTGTGAGCAGCTCCACAGTGCAGGAATCCAACGGGGAGGAAAATCCCCAGAGATCCCACAGGAGGAGGGGCTCCAAACCCATCCCAGGGTGCTCTGAGGAGGAAAGACCCACCCTGTGCCGGGAAGGCAGCCGGAGATCCAGCCAGGGCTCTGAGCTGGTGGTCCATGAGCAGCTTCAGGATGGGGAGAAGCACTACAAGTGCTTGGAGTGTGGGAAGAGCTTCAGCCAGAGCAACAGCCTGATCCAGCATCAGATGATCCACACCAGTGAGAGGCCCCATGAGTGTATTTACTGTGGGAAGGGCTTCAGCTGCAACTCCAAACTCATCATCCACCAGCGCATCCACACTGGGGAGAGGCCCTATGAGTGTCCTGAGTGTGGGAAGAGGTTTCAGAGGAGCTCCACTCTCCTTGTACACCAGCGGATTCACACGGATGAGAGGCCCTTCCGCTGCCCCGACTGTGGGGAGGGCTTCAAGCAGAACTCCCACCTCATCACCCACCAGCGCATCCACACTGGGGAGAGACCCTACGAGTGTGGGGAATGTGGGAAGAGCTTCAGCCACAACAAGAGCCTGATCCTCCACCAGAGGATCCACACTGGGGAATGTCCCTATGAGTGTGGGAAATGTGGGATGACCTTCAGATGGAGGTACCAACTGACCCTCCACCAGATGATCCACACTGGGGAGAGGCCCTACGAGTGCTCCGAGTGTGGGAAGAGGTTTCAGACCAGCTCCACTCTCCTCGTGCACCAGCGGATTCACACGGATGAGAGGCCCTTCCGCTGCCCTGAGTGCAGGAGGGGCTTCAAGTACAACTCCACCCTCATCACCCACCGGCGCATCCACACTGGGGAGAGGCCCTATGAGTGTCCCCAGTGTGGGAAGAGCTTCACCCAGAGCTCTAACTTGACCAAACACAAACGGAGGCACCGGTAAGGGAAGCCCATCGTGCGCTGCCCCAGCTCCATCGCCCATCAGAGGACCCACGTTGGGCAGAGCCCTGATGACCCACGTTCCCAGTGATCTGTGTTGGGAACACACTGGGCTGGTGGTCATTTTATTTTGGTTTCAATTATTTTTTGATTCATTCTCATCCCTTTAAAACCAACAAATGGTGGTAAAAATCAAGAAATTCATCAAAGGCATCTAAAACCTCACATTTTACTAGTGCTTCAAGGCAATCTGGGAGATACTTGGGAGTATTCAGGGGTTGTGGGGTTATTTGGTGGAGTTGTCTCCATTTCTTGGCACTCAAAGAGACAAGAGGGATCGATCTGTCACCTCAAAACCGCTCAGTCCCACTGAAATCTACTCAGACAAGAGGGATCGATCTGTCACCTCAAAACCGCTCAGTCCCACTGAAATCTACTCAATCCCACCCAAAATTACTGGATTCCGCAGCCCCTCAGGGTGTGTTGCCTTAAGTTTTAGCTTTCATATTTTTCATATTAAGTGTTAGTGAGCTCTCTTCACAGAGTAGGTAGACAAAACAATTCCTTTTCTAGCTTGATACCAAGGACAGTCGTTACAAGTTCCATGCCCAAAAGCATAAACAAGGGTGGACTGTAGAGAGAAAAGAAGAAGGATGGGACTTCATCATCTGATGCTGTAACTGGACAATGAACCCAAATATGCGGATGGACCTAAACTTCTAAAAATGTGACATCAGTTGTCCATTTTTGTGACCATTTTTGCTCCATCTTGGGTGTAGCCCTGGCCAGGCTCTTGTACTGCCCAAGGTGTATCTGTAACATGCTGGTTGTGGGTGGGGAGACAAAATCCACGACTCGTGCTCCAGTGCTCATCAGACAAAACAGCCTCGTTTATTATTCAGAACTCACTTGAGTACCAAATTCAAATTTCCCAGGCTAGACAGCCATTGGCTGATACTTCCCTCCCTGCCCTGCATCTTGGCCAGTGGTGTGCAGTGGTTCAGACATGAATTAGGCTGGCTGAATTAGATTTGTGTTATGGCTAAAGTAGATTTACTGTTAAATTAGATTTGTGTTATGTCTAGATTTACTTTGTCCAGTCCTGAGCAGCTGTACTGTGACCATACTGTGACAATTCACCCTTTTGGGTTAAATTAAAAAATATGAAATTCTCTCTTTTATCCTATCTGCAAGGGCCCTTTGCAGACATGATAACAGGGACAGCATGGGTTTAATTTGAATGAAGTTTTCTAATTAATTTGACACAATTCTCTTCAGCAAGCAATATGCATTGTGTACTAAATTGAGTTTGCAACACTCACTTCCAGGAGCTGGCAGACAGGAGCACAATCCTTCAAGCTAACATGCCACAGGTGGTCTACTTATAGTTAAAAGTTACAGCTTAACATTAAAAAACAAGAAACTATTTAGAACTGAGAGTATACCTGAACTCTATAAACAAGAAACAAAAAACATTCAGCATTAGTTTTAACCGTGAGAAAAACCGAACTTAGCAGAAAAAGGGTTCGGTAAAATTTGTAAACGAACAGTTTTTAAATGAACTGTCTTTTCAAGAGTCTGATTTTCATGGTGAATAAGTTGTTCTGGTTACTCTTCTTCAATCTGCTCCATCACATCCGTAGAGGTACTGTCAGGAGGGTGTTGTTTGTGGTCTTTGGCTGTATGATTTACTCTTTCACATTTACACTCTTTCACACTCTTTGCATTATCACTTCTTTGTCCCTGAGCTGTCCCCTGTGGAATGGGCTTGTGTGGACAGTTTATTTCCCCGTGGCCTTGTTGTCCACACTTGTAGCAATGGGGGGTGAGTTTAACAGCAGCTGTAATAGAATTGGCTAGCATATCCATGTGATGAGATCCAGTCCCAACCTTAGCACATGCTCTAATCATCTTCTCCAGAGATGGATTCTCTTGAGGTAATGCAGCTATAATTTTTCTACAGTCTTGGTTTGCATTATCTCGTGCCAGTTGTAGCATTAATTGACCCCTTGCTTCACTGTTTGCGATTTGCTTTTCCATAGCATCTTGCAAACGTTCTATGAATTGCATATAGAGCTCATGGGGGTTTTGTCTTATGCTTGAATAGCTTTGGGTTGGCACTGACAAGTTGGTAATTCTTGTTAGAGCTCACATTGCTAAGTCTTTCACTTGTGTTAGAATTGCAGAGTTCAAGCACTCTGGGTTTGGGGATCTTCTGATACTGCTGAATGATTTATTGTATGAACAGCCTTAGCTACTTTGCTTTCTGGGGTCCCACCACACATTCCTCCCTTTTGTTTTTCAATAATTCCTGTTAAAGTGCCATGTGCTCTTTCCACAGTGACCTGTTTTATTGTTATTTGAGGAACGCCAGTGTCACGATCCGCAAGGTGGGATTCGTGATGTGGTTCTTTTAGCCGGTCTTAGAGTACAAAAGATTATCAGCAAACCAAGGACTTAAACAAGAAAACACACTTTATTGAGTGCTCATCAGCACTAATATGCGATAGAGAGAAAAGAGGAGAAAGCAAGGCATAAGGAAAAAAGGGTATGGGGATTATAGCTACCAACGTCAAAGTCCACTCAGCCGTCCAATGACGCAGAGTCTTCTGTCTGTTGCGGAGATCTCAAAGGAAGGTAAGTTTGGGGTATAATTTTATAGTCTTTTGCAAAGCGAGGGGCGCAGGGCCAAAACCAGAGGAGATTGATGATCATTGTGATGAAATTCCATTGCGTGGGGAGCAGGTGTAGGGTACAGAGTGATCCATGTCTTGCAAGTCTTTGCTCACCAGCAGGAACAAGGACAAGGTGTTGTGGAAAACCCATTGCACCGGGTACCAGGCACAAGCCTCTGCTCACCAGCAGGAACGAGAGCCATGAGTCGTGGAAAACCCGTTACGCAGGTTACCAAGCCTCTGCTCACCAGCAGGAACGAGAGCAGTGTACCGTGCAACCACCTGCAAACAATCACTGAGCAAACATCCATCTCAGCTAGGCCCAAACCCCCAAACCAAGTCCCTTGTGATATTCAGGGTCTCAGTCTCTGTCCTTGAGACGGTTGTGAGACAAATGAGGGAATCTTCGGACCGTCTCTTACACCACCCCGTGGCTCACAATCGTCGAGGTCTTTCTGCACGATGTTGTAGTGCTGCTGCAGAATTCTCTGAAGTCTTCAGGACTCGTTACAGTTGGTAGTATATCCCAGAAAAAACAGAGACAGGTAGTAGGGAAAAGATAAGGGACAGAAAAAGGAAAAAGAGAAAACAAAAACAATAAGAAAATCAATATATTGATTTCAAAGAAAAACTATTCCATATATATAATTTCAACTAAGACTTACATATTGGTTTCTTATCTTAAAACAAACAATAAATTATATTCTAAAATACACCATGATAAAATGATTAACCTCATAGTCACAATGTCAAATTATTTATTGTAGTGCCTGCATAATTCATCGAGTATCGATAACCTTAGGGGTATCAGCAACATGTAAAGTACCAATCATGTTGTGTGCATCCATTATGGAAGTCAATTGTGTCAACCTCTTCATCATTCTCCAATTCAGGATGTACAAAATTGCTGATAGAACAAAACCAAGTAAAACTAAAACCAAGAGGACGATGATGGGATGACACAATTTGTTCAAAACACCTGTAGCAGTCGGTGACCACCCAAAAAGAGTGTCCCACCACTTGTGTTCAGCATCTTTCCTTACTCTTTCCAGAACACGACGTATTCCTTTCACATTGTGGTGAACCGTAACTAAGGTCTTTTGTCCATCCTTTTTGATCTTTTCCAAAATTTCGATTAAATCCTGGTGAAGCAACAATTGCCTTACCAGAGTAAAGTTCATTCCAATTGGAGCAGGCACTAAACGATGAATCAAAGTGTAATTATACTGCAAAAGATAATATGAAGTAACTGGAGCTAAATAAGAAAAGTCACAACCTATAATCTCAGTAAAATTGCATACACAAAAATTTGAATGATTCTTAGTATCCACTACTATGTTTTCTACAAGCATACTATCACAAGCAGTTCTCAAGCATACACATCCATTGCCTACATACACAAGCACTGTTTCAGAAGTGTCATTAGGATGGATTTCAAAATGACAGATATTCTGTTCTGTGTCTAAACAAATGTCTTGAGCTTTGATTGCATTACTTTCACAGATAAACCCTTGTTGTTCCCGGACAATACAATTTTCCAAACCAACAGTTTGCCATTTCCCACCAATCTGACGGGCCCATTCCCTATGCTCTAAAGGATAGAGAACAGCTCCGTCATGATTCAGCCCCAATGCAATGATAGGAAAGATTGAATGTACTGAAGCATTACGTATTGTCAACACAAAAGCTGTGGCTGTGTTTGTGATGGGATCGTAGGTAAAATTTACCAAATTCCACCAAGATTGAAATTCCTTTTCAAAATCATTGGCATTGTCCCAGACTATTTTCCGAATCTCAGTGGGAAAGGTGCCTTCTTCACCCTCTCTGATAATTGATGCAGCAACTGACTGCATCCACAACTGGGCTTGAATACAGCTAAGAGCCAGAGAAACATTGTTTTGGGTAGCACTGAGTGCATCAATTATTAATTTGTGATCATCTACATTTACCCTTTCCCAATTTGGTAATATGTTTGATAGCAA